ACGTGACGCTCTGAAGCCATACATGGACCATGTATGTTTGAATTGTTTTGACATGTTGAGGTCCTCTCGGGGGCCTCGTAGAGGCTCCCTATGGCCCCCGGGATGGTCCAAGATGCCCCCCAGGGCTTCCCATGCGCCCCCAGCACTGCCTCCAAGATATCCAAAGACGCATCAAGACGACCTCGGTGAGCCCCTCAGCCCACAATTGCGGCCCAAGGAACCAAGAATATCGGAATCGAGCTCGTCCAATGTTTCTCAAACTGATTGCGCAGCAGCTGAGAAATTCACGAGGCGACAGCCTGCTCAAACTTTGGCACAACCTTCGGCCACGATTTGCGAAAGACCACATCGACCGGATCACAATCGTCCTCATACGCTACCGCCGTCCCCGCCATCATGAACCACCCTGAGACGGTCCACGACAGTCGGATGGTAGCGAGCAGCTGGCTACTACCAGAACTATTACACCTACTAGAGCGACCATGAAAATGACTGGTATCATTCGACCAATGCATGTTGGGACAAATTTCGCGCAAGCCGACGAGCTTGATGGCAACTGGCCTACCAGGATTGACAGCACGGATTTTTGCAACACCCAACACCTGCAGGTGCAAGAATGGGCACACCGCCCACCAACCACTACTCGTACGCACGTACCCTAATCACACGAACCAGATCCTGACAGCCTCCACCAGCGAAGCGGTACGAACACGATGAAACGCGAATGAGCACAGCAATGAAAGGAGTATCCACGAGCACTACGTACCATTCCACACACCACTGGACCCCTACTGCGATTTCCAGAGGAGCACCGACTGCAGGACCCATCGGCGACCCCTACCTCGGTAAACCATGGTGATACTGAAACTGGATCACAGATACCCGGCGCGGCCCGCCTTTATTCGGGGTTTATCCCTTGGTACGCGCGACCTCCAACGACTACTTGAACTACGCAGACCAGGGGCTCTCGTACGCCTGACCTGAAAGAAATCTGCCCAACCAATGCACCATGACACCGACTGGATATTGTACAACATCCAAAAGAAGCCTGGATGGGGAAGGGACCACTCGGCGCGGCCCACCATTAACTGGGGCAAATCCTCTGACAAGCGCTACCTCAACCGTCAGATTGAGCCAGAGGTTCTCGTGCGCATGTCCCCGGGGGCGACACTGAATCCACGTGACTAAATGCCACGACTTTGTCTCGCCATGCAGAATCATAGCGAGCGACCTCAACATATCCCATACGATGTCTCATCACAACGTGGCAACGCAAATGCAGCACCCAATGATCAACAACACGACCAAACGACTGGTATCCACTCCCAAAGCATCCGAGAGGGAGTGGCGTTACTCGACTACCGACCACCAGACGACCCGAAGCTCGACCCACAACCCAACAAGCCCTGGCATCCGAGACCCCCACCAGGGAGTACATCTACGCGGCATTGGAGGTGGGACCAATCTACATACCGACGAACACCCTGAGGGGATGGATGAAGACCCTGAACGGCCACCACTGCACGTTGGCAGAGTTCGGCGCCACCACCGTCGTGTGGAAACGGGGCGCCAGCACCAGCTGCGAAGGCACAACCAGGAACTCCTTCGCAAAGAACCGCATCGTATCAGACACCGACGACGCCAACGGCCACTTGTTCGCCAGGCCTGTACATCTACCTCACTACCGCAACGCATGGCGGACCAGGACCAACCAGGACGCAATCGGGACGGACGTCCCAGAGAAGGGCACTCACTGACGCACTGCCCAGGGAACGGGCGAAGGGTCTTGCAGAGAACAACCTCATCTACCTCGACCCCCGCAAATGGGGCCCAACGGTATCGAGCTCCCCAACGTAAAGCACATCCACAAGATCCTCGCTGCGCAGGTCTACAAGAGGGCCGTCTCCCAGGACGCGGAGCGCACTGCCATCTTCTCCAGGACCCACATGAGGCAGGACTGGACCGCTGAGGACTACATCATAGACGCGACCAGCGAGTTCGGCGAAGTCCTGGAGTCGAGCGAGGCGATACCACTACTACTGTACCTGGCCGACGCCCTCTCATCAAGGAAAGAAAAACGCATGCATCCCCACAACGACAACCTGGTCTTCGAGCAGCGCCACATCCAGATGACCCCACAGACGCGCGCAAGCCTACACGCTGACGAAGACGACCCACCGGCGATCTTGTGCCCTTGGCCGACGTCGGCGACGACGACGAGGGGTCACAATACCGCGTCCAAATAGACCACTACGAGAAGTTTGACATCCACTACGAATTCCAGTTGAGATCTCCATCCAACGGCCACCCGCAATAGCCACATTTCGGCAACACCGAGTGGGACGCACCAGCATACGTCAATATCGAAGAAAGAATCACGATCAAGAATGTGGCCCCCAACAGACTCCCACATCATGAACCCAGAACTGTGAGACGCCACCTACCGCCTCAAGCGACTGACTGGGCCGAGCCAAAGGAGATCCTCGTCTTCGGGTGCATGAAGGTCCCCACGGAGAACATCCACAGACATATGTCCCGCCTCGAGGACGACGTCCGAGCGGACGACCACAGGATCCTCGCGTCAATGCGGAACAACCACTTCAACAACTTCACCGCCAACTACAATGTCCCACTGGACCTGATAGGCTTCACACCGCGGACGAAGTCCGCCGCCATCATGTCCTGCTCCATCCACGGCACACACCTGGCGAGGCGCCAACGATCACGACCTCCGAGAACGAAACCTACTCCAGCGCATACACGCAACAGACGGCTGACGGACGACCCAGCAGTTCGACCGGTGCAGCAGCCCGACCCAGCACCACCAAACCAACCCCCCACTGCCAGCAGATCCACCACATCACCGCGTATGGACCGACCACGAGATGGCACGGAGACTGCAGGAGCTGGGCGTCGCACCAGGGATGCCCGATCGTCCGCACCACCAGCTCCCTTGCACGTACCCATGGATCGTCTACGAAACGGCGAACCCAACCAATTTCAACAACCATGTCAACTACTTCAATAGTGGGACCCGTGGTGCAGAATGGGAGGGCTCGAACAACTACCTCCCCATGACAGGCTAGAAAAGGGGCGCCACGGCCGACAACGAAGAGTTCTGATATGACGGCAACAACCGCATCGTCAGGGACGCACCATTTGCACCACAAGGGTAATGCCCACCACCGCCGCCGCCGAAGCCGAGGACTCCATCTCTGCTGGCCAGATCTATCCACGTGGACATCTCAGTGATCGACGGACTCGCCGAGAGGTACAAAAACGACAACCTATACAAGCTCACCCTCGACGCCGTAATAGCGACGTCGCCGACATGGACCTCGACCATCTTGCGAACTATTTGCTGGGCAACCCACAAAACGGAACCATCGTGAACGAAATGACTGAAGCAGAGCGACTCCATCCTCCGCGCGGAAGGAACCGATAGGATCATCGCGGAGATGCAGACCGCCAAACCACCCAACGCGATTACACCCCCGAGTGCTAGCTTACCCGATCAGATCCACACACAAACACACACGATCACAGCAACCCCCTTCCCAAGCACAGCCCGACGACCACGACACCATTCCGAACGACATGCGCGACTTCATCGACCTGATGACCGACAGACCACGACCAGGTAATGTTGTACTTCTCGCGGCCCCTCAACAACTACATGGGCGAGGCGATCAGACCATCGACCAACATGTTCGAGATACTGACAACCTGGGGGTGCTGACCCGCTTCGTCATCCACCAGCTGTGCACAATCACCTCGGATCGAAAGGCCGACGACCGATTAGACCTACCAAATATCGTACTGCACAGGCTTGGACCGCGTGGGCATCCTCACCTACATCAAGCTGGGCATGCGGTACAGTCCAACTGGTACCACGGCGCCGTCAGCCACGTCTGGCTCCCAGAAGGACGTGGCCAACCACCTGATCGACAAAATGAACGACCTCCTCAACCACCAGACCACACGATCAAAACGCCCACACTGCACGACCCAACAAGACTCCGACAACGACGACGAGGCACCCGACAACGGAGGCCCTCCAGATCGCCGCACCGCACCCCTGAGTGTCACGAACAGTATCGATACACAGGGCGGAGCATAACTCAAACAAGAACCCCAACACAGGGAGCACTGGCAAAAACACCCCCTGCCAACCGCAAGCTGACCTCCTCGTCCAAAGGTTCCTCCCCACCATAGACTCGGAAACGGCCAACAAACGTATTCGCGAGATGAACGAGGCACAACACACCCTCCCGCCTTCGCCGCAGGATGGCATGCCGCGGCGGCGCCTTGCAAAGCAGATCATGATCGCCGCCGGCAGCAAGCCCGACATCGAGGACGACCCCCACGACCACAGGTCCCCCATGCATCGCTCCGACATCCAAGCCATCACGGACCACAACAAGGAACACTACCCAAATTACGACAAGAAAGACTACGTCATCTCACCAGCAACCGACAACCCCACCCTCGCGAACCCGCACCGTAGCGATGACACTACCGACAATGTGGCACTCCTGTCACCTTGCCAACTTGCCTAGCTACAGGGGCACACCAGCTTCCCATCCCACCCAACCTCTCTGAGAAGACAGGCGCCCCCCGCTCCTGACTGCTCACAACTTGGCAGACGAGGCAAACACCACCTCCATGATGGCATCTGCCACACGGAGGCCCAACAGCGCGTCATCTCTACCGACCTACCAACGTTTCTCTCGGATAGCAGACGACCGACCCCTCCCATCAGTCCACCTTTCTCATTTTCCACCCCCATGGCGGCGGCACCCTCCCACCTCTGCGAGCATTCTCGCGGCGATCACATAGTGCCAAGCACATACGGCGGCTACAACGACAACGGCCTATGCTACAAAAAGGTCCACGGTCCAACACGGCTCCCCAACCCACCGTGGCTTTCTTACCCACGCATGCTACTTACACGGCGCATGCAACGGTGCGTGTCACATCGACCCGTGGATTGAGCTCTCTCATGCGCCTCCTTGGTGGGGGCCATGATCACCAACTGCGAGCTGGGACCTCAGAGGCAGCAATACGGAGAGCCTCGGTTCCCCAAGTCATGAGGAAGCTCACCCAACCTCCACTCCCTCCTGGCCCATCTCCATCCGCATTCATGCCCTTCCCACTCCTCGCCTCCCTCACCTTCTCCTCCCTCTCTTGTGGCGAAGGGGCGGGGTCGGGTTAGCACCAGGGAAGGGAGACGAGGGGACCACACCAACGGCCATCCTGGCAAGGACTAGGGTGGCCGCGGCATCAGCCCTGCCTCAGCATTGCGCCACATGCGGCCCCTCGATACGCTCAGGGAGGTCAGTGCACTTGCACTCCTACGTAGCACGCACCGCTGTATCATCTATGCCTACTCTCCCTTCCCCTCCTCGTCCATCTAACATGTAACCTCCGCCACAGGGAGCGCACAGACGGCTGTCCCGGCAACGGTCAGGACGGCCGCAGACTGCGTCGCACCTGATGCTCGCAACACCAACCTACTAGAGGAGCGGTGGGGAAGTGGTATGATCACGGGGTAAGAAGCCGCGACCAACCGCGGCCACCGTCACGATGGCGCAAACCTTCCCGCACCTGGTGGAAACCCCCACCCGACCCAACAGTCTTCTACTGGGAACCCTTCGGCCACCTCTGTGGGCGAGGGCCCCCTTTGGTGGGATTGGGTCGGGGTGGCGGGGTTTCCTGTAGGCTGCGGAAACGCCCTTGCGGCGTCCCTCCTGGCGAGTGTGGCCGCTGCCGCGCAAAAGCATGCGACCCTCTAGGCACGTCAGCACCTGGCAGCTCCCACACCTCACCTTCCTGTCTGAGGTGCACAGCCAGCCACTTGCCGTCGTCTCGAGCTACTCAGCATCCAGCTTTGCCAGAATAGCACCAGCTGCCCCACTCGCAGCTCCGAACTCTGCACTATTTATTCAACGCGCCGGCGCGCTGGCTGAACAACAACACCAGTGGAATCCGCTTCTATCCCGCTCAATACACATTCTCACACCTCATCGTCCGCAATTCTATTACAACAGACTGACTACAGCGGATGCGGAGAACCGCCCGCTATCAATCTACACACTAGGTGCCGTTGCCGCAAACAGCCTGCAACCTCTTCCTTCCTGTCCTTTCACACTCAGCGCAACCACGCTTGAACTGATGAGGGGGTTGGGGTGGCTAACATGTGCGGGTTATACTGGGAACGGAACTACTATCGGGCGTTGGCAAATCTGGCTTTAGCGGGAACTGATTTGGTGATGTGTACTGGGGGACGCCCCCCACGCCCCGTTCCACTAACCGGAACTGCCGTCACCCGAAAAAGCACCAGCTACAGCAGACCTGGTTCAGTGATTCTGGCCCATTCAGGGGCTCTGGGGCCCTACCACTACTAGCCGGGTCCCCTTACCTGAGGTCCTGGGCATACCCGATACTGCTACGGGGAGCCAACGCCACGGGAAGGCGCAGACCTCCCCTGAGCAAGGTGGGCATCCCAACGTGGCCCCCGGTCACATCCTCGGGCACCACTCGTCCGCCTCGGCGGGCGAGGCGAGGATTCCCTGGCGCTGACCCGGGGCCGTCCCGCCGGCATGCCCTCATTATGCAAGGGGCCCACGGACACAAATAAATAAACACACAAATCTCAGGACTCCCCAAATTTTCCCATATGTTCTGGGTTTTGGTCTTCCCCCCACTTTCCATATTTCCGATCTTTTCCTGGGGATCGACGATTACTTCTGTCTGTGCATTTTTCTCCCCCTCCTGAATGATGGCTGAGGGGAAAGGCCATTCCGCTAGCCAGCCTTGGCGAGCGTGGCCACACCACGCCGCCCGCCGCCACCGGCACCGCCCACAGCGCCCTCACCCGTCCCCATCCCCCCTGCAGGCTATGCTGTGTCCTCTCCTCCTCTTCTTACTCGCGTCTTGCGTCTCGTTGTATTTTCCTTTACCTCCGCGCCCCGACCAGCCTGACGCGAGGCGAACTAGTTTGATCACTCCCGCCTGGGCCGACCGGCCCTGGGGTTGGGGGAGGGGGCTGGCTACGTCAGGATGACATCACGGCCGAGAGAGAGAGAGAGGGAGGCGGCGTCGTCGTCGAGGACGACGACGATGACGATGACAGGATGACGACGGTGACGACGACGACGACGACGACGGCGACGGCGACGGCGACGGCGACGGCGACGGCGACGACGACAGGGCGCGCGAAACGCGCGAGGCGGCACACGTTCCTGCCGGTAGCCCGCAGGAGCTTCACCAAATTGCGCACGGATGCCATCGTGCTCGGGTGCCCTGGCCCGAGGGCCTGCTGCCTTGGGGGTGGAAAGGCTCCGCCTCCTCCAACTCCTCCTCTAGCTCCTCTCCCTCGCAGGGACGGATGGGGATCGAGGAGGAGCATCGAAGAGGAGGAGGAGGAGGACGAGGAGGAGGAGGAGAAGGAGGAGGAGGAGGAGTGCGGAGGAGGGGGAGGAGGAGGAGCGAGGAGAAAAAGGAGAATCGGAGGCTCGGAGCAATGTTCTCGGCGTGGCTTCGGTGCGGCTGTCGAGGTGGTTGCGGGATTTCTCGGGTGCATGCTCTGAAAAAAGACTGGGGTTCATAACAGAGTCCGAAAGAATCCTCCCCCTTCCGCCCCCTCTTCCTCCCTGTTTGTGCGGGTGCCGACGACGACGCTGCCTCACACCTGCTGCCTGGGAGTGGAGAACCTCCGCTTCTTCGTCCTCCTCCTCCTCCCCCTCCTCGTCCTCCTCCTCCTCCTCCTCCTTCTCCTTCTCCTCCTCCTCCTCCTCCTCGTCCTCCTCCTCCTCCTATTCCTCCTCCTCCTCCTCCTCCTCCTCCTCCTCCTCCTCCCCCTCCTCCTCCTCCCCCTCCAACTCCTGCCTTTCCCCGTCGGACGCACACAAACATTGACTCACGGATCCATGGACCTGGCGCGTGGGCGCCAGGTCCACGGATCTGGTAAAGTACCCTCCAAAACATGAGACCAGTGCCGCCGATTTGACGACGCATAGTGCCGATTTGGTATGGTAACGTGACCCGTCCCTAATCCAGTCGACCCAACCCATATTCGCGGTTCCTCGACTCATCCCTCATCCCTCATCCCCCATCCATCTCCCCCGTGATTTGTTGAAGATGGTCGACGGAGAGACTACCTCGGCTCACGGCTGCGAAACACCGGGGAACAGGATGCTGGCCGCAAACGCGGCGGAGGCGGGCTCTCGGCGCCAGCGGACCCAGCGGGTAAAATGCCAGCATTCCGACAAGCCTAATTGCGCAACTGCGATGAACCACAACAAAATGATAGCCACCGTGGTTTTAGCAACTCACGTTGTGCAACATGTTTGAAGCAAACCGTGGTGCAATACGCGTTCGGCAATATATGTGGGGCGACGTATGTGGTGCAACCCACGTGGTGCGATCTATGTGGGGCATGTTATGTGGTGCCATCTATATTGCGTATGTGTTGTGCCATGTATGTGGTGCGATCTATGTTGTGTAATGTATGTGGTGCAAATCATGCTGTCCCATGTAAGATGTGCAATCTACGAAGTGCAATCTATGTGGTGCAACCTCCGTGGGGCAATATATGCGGCGCACTAAATGATCCACTTGAAATTGTACACCACACTGCTCGCGCAAACGCCCCACCCACCCACCCGCAACTTGGTTTGCTAACCCCATGCGGCGGCGATTGCGATGAGTGTTTGGCGCTGGCTGGTGCATCTCTGCGGCCGCGACAACCCGCGCATGCACGCGCGCGAAGCGGCCAACTACTTTGGCGCGACCGACGCAGCCGCGGTGGCACTGATCGTTGGGCGCATTCCAGCGGGCACTTCAGTGCGAGCCGGCGATTTGGGCGGGCGCGGTATCATGGCAACGTCGACGACGACAGACACGGTGATGATAGTAGCGATGCTGGCGACGATGCTGGCAGCGACGACGGCACGGCCAGTGACGGCGCGGATGCCGGTGTTGCAGGTTTTGGGAAGAGTTCGACATGCGCGCGCGGCCGACGTGCGAGAGTGGCCCGCATTGTATTATTTGACACGGATGGTGCCCCCCCAGCACGCGCGCAAAGGCGTGCGAATGATGTCGGCGTGCGGCGCGAGAGGCCCGCTTGGCAGAATTCAATGACTATATTGAAAAACCTATTGTTTGCTCAAGAAGTCGCAAGAGCGAGAGCGCACGCTGTATTGAAAACCGATGTTGCGAAACCATGTGGTTGTGTATGCTTTGTGGACACTAGGTTTTGACATCGCTACGACACCAAACAACAATTGACGGATCTCGGCATGCGCGCGCGACAACGCATGCGCGTGCATTTCGTCATTTCTGGTGCAACATATTGCCACGACGGCACGCGCGCAAGGGCGTTCGAACAATTTCGACATGCACGCGCGAAAATCTGACAAATGCGCACCAACTTGTTTGACATTCGAGCTGCGACACCCTGTGTTTCAGTATGTCGTTTGGACACTCAATTTGGGAATCCTTACGAAACGTAAGGTTTCTGACAGATTGTGGCATGCGCGCGCGACGACGCGCGCGTGTGCACTTCGTGTCATTATGTTACAAGGGTTTCGGGAAAACTCATGTTGTTTGATAAACGAAAGGGAAAGCGCGCATAGCATGGTTTGCAGAAGATGGCGGGGGTCGCTGAGACCGGTTGTGCTGGGACTGTACGATATTTAGGATGGACGATGGGGCAAAAACGTATGTAAATTGCAATACGAAAGAGGAAACTGATAATCCCGGGGGGGGGTAGAGTCTATTCTCTTGTTAGAAAAGGAGAATCGATGCGAGGCGGCGACGGGGCGGCGACAGCGATGACGGGGCGACGACGGCACGGAACAGCCAGACCGCCACCCAGACCCAAACGACAGGCGGCAACGCGGCGACGAGGCGGCGACGGCGAACACGGAGCCACCAGACCGCCCATCAGGCCCAGACGACTGTCAGCGGCGAGGCGGAGGCGGGGCGGCAACGGACAGCACGGAGCCGCCAGACCGCCCAGAACAGAAGCAAGAATCCCTAAGTGCAAGCACTTTCGGGGAAATCTATAATGCTGCTTCGAACGATGCCCACCTGAAAGCTCCCCTGGGCCCAAAAATCGATTGGTAGTGTACGTCACTGGTGCGTGTTCATGGACGGGATCGGATGTTGCTGCCGATGTGTAGTATTGGAATATATTGTTGGCGTCGGCTAGATGTCACTGTCCCTGGCGTATGATATTGATGCACCGTTATGGTGTGCAGCTAACATATTTCACGCTTATCTGATGAGCTTTGTGTACAAGCCATTGTTGACGGCGGTCGACGTCTATGATGACTGTAGATTACGTGCGTCTGTTTGCGATCCAGGTTATAGATGAATGTTGCTGGTGTATGTTATTGGTAATTGGTGCATGTTGCGGATGAGCGCTATCGGTGTATAGGCTGGTGTGTAGCAATCATGCATGTTGTATGTGATCGACGTATGCTATTCGCACATTCGACATGTGTAATATGTGTGCATGCTGTCGCCGTTGCCTCTGATGCGATAGGCCGGCTGTCCCCCCCTGGTCGGGCCCAGTCGCCGGGCCGGGGCTGTCGCCGCCTGCCGTTCCGCCGGGGCCCGCTGCCTCCCCCTGCGGCCGCCCCCCACGCACAGGCCCCTGTCCCGTTTACGGGGCCCTGCCCTCCCTGTCTCGCTGCACCTCGCTGCACCTGTTCGGTGCGGCGCCTTCCCCTCCGGCGGTGGCGGCCGTCCCCCTTGCGCTGCGGGCTTCCCCCACCCCGCCGGGAGGCGCACCCTGCAGGCCTGTCGCAGTCGCCTCTGCTGCGGTGGGCCGGCGTTCTCCCCCTGGCAGTGCCTTGCCCGCCCGGGCCGGGGCTGTCGCCGCCTTCCGTTCCGCCTGGGTCCGCCGCTTCCCCCTGCGGCCGCCCCCCTCGCGCAGGCCAAATCCCGTTCGCGGGACCCTGCCCTCCTTTTTTGGCTCCACCTCACTGCACCTGTTCGGTGCCGCGCCATCGCATTCGGCGGTGGCGGCCTTCCCCCTTCTGCTGCGGGCTTCCCCCCAGCCTGCCGGGAGGCGCATGTCGCATATTTCGTGCACCTCTTCGGTGCTCCTCCCTCCGCCTGCCCCCGCGCCGCCCGCTGCGCGCTGCCCCTGGCGCCTGCCGCCCCAGCTGTGGGCACACAGGTGGGGCATCCTCCTCCCTGTTCGCTGGCCAACGCCTCGCTCGCTCCCCCCTCCTCCGCGCCGCCATGGCGCTGCCGGCTTACGCCGCCGTCCCACCACTGGCGCACCACCCCGTGGTTCCTAACGCACCGGCGCTGGGGTTGGGCTGCTTGGGATTTAACACTGACGCATTAATACCTTCAGGTTTCGTTTCGCACTGGGCCCCGCCGCCCCCGGTCGTTGACGCAGCAGCCGCTGCGCGCCGCGCGGCGGGGCCAGACACGCCACACGCTCGGGGAGCGTTCTGACCCCTGGGCCGCCCGCCGTATCCTTATTTTCCTTCGGTCGCGTCCCCCCTCCCTCCTCCATGCCATTCATCGCCAGCGCAGTCACCCTCTGCCTAGCCGCCGACGCAAAAAGTTTGAGATGTGTGTGGACGGCATGACGCCGTTCCGCCTGGACGGGTATTATGGATTCTGTTCGGCTGCGCCGGGGGGCGGGGAACCTGGTCGCCCGAAGTGGGTGCGGACAAAAATGGGTACGATGCCCAACAACAAAGATCCTTCGGCATCGACAGCAGCCGCTGTTGGGCAGGCGGCCTTCTGTCTCGACTGGGCAACGGCCGCGGAGGCACCAACAACGAGCCCTGTGCAACATGAACAGGAACAGAAAACGGAATACACATCCTCCACGGTGCCTCTGGGCACGGAGTGGGCGTGTCATCAGGTCCTTTCCCTAACTTTCTAAGCCTCAACCCTCACCCCTTGCCATCGCTCGGACGTCCATTCCCTGTGCATTTTTCGGTTTCGTGCATGTTTTCGTTCGCTCGATGATCCAGGATGCTCCTCCAGGGTACTCGCCGAGAAAAAAATGCACACGTCCGAGCGATGCCAGGACCCCGGAAGAGTCATCAAAGGGCCTGGGCACCGAATTCCTAGATTCGGCGGGGCCTGGCGCGTGCCCCCCGGGCCCCCCCGCATCGTCGCGTGACTTTCTCGGGTCCGAGGAGGGCCCCAAGGCGGGCCACGAGGTCCCCGAGAGGCCCCGAAAACGATCCAAGTGGGGCACGGGACGCCCAACCACCGCACCAAGAAGCCCAAGTCGGCCCCTGAACGGCCCGAGAGGCCTCCAAGATGCCCAAGGAGAGGGCTCCAACAGGCAAATATCACTGATTTCCTTTTTCTCACTTGACGGGCCAAGAGGCCCCCAAGACCATCCCAAAACGGCCCAAGTGGCCCCCCAAAGGGCCCCAAGACGGCCTAAGAGCGCCAAAGAGGCGCCCAAGACGGCTCAAGAGGGCCTCAAGACGGCCCTAAAAGGAGCCCAAGAGAGAACACGAGTCTTCCGCCCCAAGAAGCCCCCAGGAGTCCCCAAGCGGCGCCAAGGGGGCCCCAAGAGGCCTCGAGATGGCCCCAAAGGCCCCCGAGAGGCCCCCCAGAGGCCCAAAAGAGGCCCCAGGAGGCCCCCAAGAGGCCTCCAAACTGCCTCTAAGAGGACCCAGAAAGGCCTCCCACGAGATCGCAACGAACATGCAGTAGGCTTCATACCCACAACCCAGGCACGGTGGCGGGATAGGCCAAGGGCCATTAGAATGACGTGCGAAGGTCATTGCGGATTTCTTGGATCTGCGCCGGACCCCCATCTCTGGCGCGCGAAGCGCGCCAGGGGCGGCTCCGTAAGTACCAACAGGGGGGCCCAACGCCGATCCAAGAAATCCGCGCGGAGCCCTCAAATTGTAAATGTATGTTTTCTGTTGCTCGGAAGCTGCTGTCGGTCTTCGTACCCTGTCCTTCGAAGCAAGCCACCCGCTTCTCAGAAGCACGCCAGGGACAGCCATTAAGAAGCAACCACCAGCTGGCGCCCGCGCCTTCTAAGAACGGGAGTTTTTTTACGACGCCTTCCCCCTCTCCCGCCCCGCCCCCTTTGCGCTGGACCCCCCTCCCTGAAGCGCGGAGCGCGCCAAGGGCTGCGCTGGAAACTCCGCCAGGGGGGCCCAGCGCCGATCCAAGAAATCCGCGCGGAACTTCCACAAATTATGTTTTCCTGTTCTTAGAGAACTGCTGTCGGTCTCTGCACCCTGTCCACAGAAGAAAGCCGCCCGCCTCTTAGAAGCGCGCCAGGAACAGCTTCTAAGAAGCAGCCGCCAGCTTCTTCGAATGGGCACTTCGCACCTTCATTGAGGGGGGGGTGATTCTAAGCAACCTGCCCATCTCCCCCTACACCCTTGAACGCGTGGTTGATACCCATGTCTCTGTACATACATCGACCCCCAGAGGCCTGGACCTCTTCCCTGGGACCGGTTTCTCGTCCTGAATCGTTCTCTGACGGCCCAGGAGCTCGGCAAGGGCCCGCGGAGGCCGAAAACGGCGAGAAACCTCCCTTCGTGATGTTGTTCGCGGCGCGAGGGGTTTCTGGGCCCCCCTCCGCGCGTGGCTGATAACAATTTTTCTGCACCGTTTCCGTTCGTGCGAAAGGGGGGGCGGCGCGCGAGCCTTCCCTCCAGGGCCGCCCGGTGGAGGCGCTCCGCCTCCTCGCTCCAGCGGGGGGGGGCTCCCCACCCTCGTCTGCCACGCGACCCCCGACCCCCGTTCTCCTCGTCCTCCTCCCCTTCCTCCTCCAATTCCTCCGCCTCCCCTCCTCCTCCTCCTCCTCCTCCTCCTCCTCCTCCTCCTCCTCCTCCTCCTCCTCATATTCTTCCTCTTCCTCTCCTCCTCCTCCTCCTCCTCCTCCTCCTCCTCCTCCTCCTCCTCCTCCTGCTCTCCTCCTCCTCCTCCTCCCCTCCTCCTCCTCCTCCTCCTCCTCCCCCTCCCCTCCCCCTCCCCTCCCCCCCCCCTCCCCCTCCCCCTCCTCCTCCTCCTCCTCCTCCTCCTCCTCCTCCTCCCTCCTCCTCCTCCTCCTCCTCCTCCTCCTCCTCCTCCTCCTCCTCCTCCTCCTCCTCCTCCTCCTCCTCCCTCCTCCCCCTCCCTCCCCCTCCCCTCCCCCCTCCCCCTCCCCCCTCCCCCTCCCCCTCCCCCTCCCCCTCCCCTCCCCTCCCCCTCCCCCTCCCCCTCCCCCTCCCCTCCCCCTCCCCCTCCCCCTCCCCTCCCCTCCCCCTCCCCCTCCCCTCCCCCTCCCCCTCCCCCTCCCCCTCCCCTCCCCTCCCCCTCCCCCTCCCCTCCTCCTCCTCCTCCTCCTCCTCCTCCTCCTCCTCCTCCTCCTCCTCCTCCTCCTCCTCCCTCCTCCTCCTCCTCCTCCTCCTCCTCCTCCTCCTCTCTCCTCCTCCTCCTCCTCCTCCTCCTCCTCCTCCTCCTCCTCCTCCTCCCTCCTCCTCCTCCTCCTCCTCCTCCTCCTCCTCCTCCTCCTCCTCCTCCTCCTCCTCCTCCTCCTCCTCCTCCTCCCCTTCTGCTTCTCACCCTCCTGCGCCTTGTCCTCTTCATCCTCCTCACCCTCCTCCTCCTCCTCCTCCTCCTCCTCCTCCTCCTCCTCCTCCTCCTCTCCTCCGCGAACGGCTGCGATTGGCGGTCCAACCTGAACTCCGAAAGAGCTCACTCAGACTCCTTCCCCTCGCCCCAGCGCCCCTCCGCCCGTGTCACACGCTTCTCACATGGCTACTTTCTTACTTTGCCACCTCACGCACCTCCCACATGGTTACTTTCTTACTTCGCCACATACCTTTCTGACAGTGGGCTCCCTCAGGGGTCTGCTTCGCCATCCACGTTCTGAATGGCCTCGCGAGAGAACAACGAGATAATGACATCGTATTGCTGCTGCCGATGCCTAGAGCCAGTCCTCCCCGGCGAGGCAAAGCCCGGCCCTTTAACCCGAGATGTCTTGAGCCTCCTCCTCTTCCTCCCCCCAATCCCCCTCCTTCTCCTCCTCGTCCCCCTCCCCTCGCCCTTTCCTCTTTACCATCCTCCTCCTACTCCTTCTCCTCCTCCTCCTCCTCCTTCTCGATAGTACTCGAAACCTCAAAGCATCATCGAGATCCCTGGACTCGAAGTTGAGAACGAAGTGGGAATGAATGTGGTATACAAAGCGATAGGACATGTCCACTCAGCGGCCCCTGTAACGGTACTCGAGCGAGCCAAGGCAGCAGCGGGCGCACTTGCACACGAACACTGCACTATCTACGCCCAGGCTTGCTACACTGGGGCGCAACAGTTGCCATATACACTCCTCCTCCTCCTCCTCCTGCTCCTCCTGCTCCTCCCCTCTGCAACGGGACCCAGCACAAGGGCCCAGATTCGGGATGGGTCTACGCTGGAACGGCGCTGCGAACCGCCCCGAAGTTGTCGAGGGGAGACGCCGGATCTCCTTTCACAAGCGAACGCGGGAAGTCCATCCACACTTACCAACCCTCAGGGTGTTCAAAAATTCGTGATCCTGAAACTTCACGTTTCCGACAACTGCTAGTGTGGACGGCAAACCGTTTTCAGGATGGGGCTCCCGCCATGTAGAGAGCGGATAGAGGTGTACAATTACACGTTTCCGCGATCGGAGAAATCCGCGATGACCTCCGAGGCTTTATGTTTGTGAAATTGATTGTTCCCCTAACATGTGGCTATCGCCTCAGCGCCGCGCACATTCGTTTGGAAAGCGTGTGCCTGGTGCAAGGATCCAGGGCGGCTCCTTTTGCAAAGTGGGGCTCTGCAAATTGCGGCGCGCACCCTTGTCGTGTGAAAGTGCACAACAGTTACAATGGAGGGGGGCGATGCCATTACAGCATGGGCTTCTCACCTTGGCGGCGAATGCTCTCGCTACAGAAATTTGAAAGTATTACGGGGATGGAGGGGCGTATACTCTTCATAGCGGGGCTCTCGCCGTGGCGGCGCGCGCACTCATGCTCATTGCGCGAAGCTTTCAGACGGCTGCTTTGCATAATGGAGATATGTATCGCCTGAAACCTCCCCGAACTGAACGAGCTGCAGCCTGAGGAGGCGTAACGGCTGCGCGGGTGGAGAGAGGCTCTTTTCAAATGTGGGTGTTCGCCCGAGCCACCCTCCGCTCCCGGGTGACTCGTCGCAGCGTGCTCCATTGACAACAGTGGACTGCACGGATGGGAGGGGGGGGGGCGGCTCCTTTTCCCAGCGGGGCGCTCGCTGGACACTCCGCTCGACACCTGACAGTCCCTACCCGTCGCTTGCGCACACCTTGACACGGGTGCAGGGCAGGGCCTCTGCAAAGCTGGGCTCTCGCCTGGGATGGCAGGCCCTCCAGGTGCTTGTCTTGAAAGGGAAGCCTCTTGTGGTGAAGAGCACAGCTCGTCGGAGCGAACTTGCAGCAGCGCCGATGCATCCTGGCTTTCACCTGGCCCAGCTCTTCCTCCTCCCCACCGCCGCCTCCTCCTCCTCGAAGCCACGACGTTGCAGGCGGCTCCCCCCCCCTCTTTGGGGTTGGTCTGACGGGGCCATCATACAACTGGCGAGGCCGAATCTGAAATTTGGCGTGAGCTCCCGCTGCACACATCCCACGAGAACCGGACCGTCAAAATCCTTGACCCGAACGTCAAAAAGCGTCGGCGAACCAAAGTTGCGGCGTATTCGAGTCTAACGTTTCCCCGACTCGTCCTCCTCCTCCTTCCCCTCCTCCTCCTCCTCCTCCTCCTCCTTCCCCTCTTCCTCCTCCTCCTCCTCCTCCTCCTCCTCCTCCTCCTCCTCCTCCTCCTCCTCCCCCTGACTCCTCGCCCTCCTCCTCGTCCTCCCATTTTCCGCCCTCAACTCCGCGCCCTCCCGAGTTGCGACGACGACGACAACTCCACGACGACGGTGCGAGCACCTCTCCCTCAACTCCGCGCCCTCGCGATCCTCCTCCCTCAATCCAAGCGTCACGCAAAATCACGGCGGCCTGCTGTGTTCCCACCGTGCGCCTCAGGAAAAAATCGCTCCCCCGCCACGGCTCGGGACGAGAAGCCATCCCTCCGGGAACGACGAGATGCCCAGAGGCCAGGGTCGGAAAAAATGACACGTCGGAGGAGTTGGTCCCCCCCCCCTCCCACCCCTCCCCTCGTCCCCCCCCTCTCCTCCTCTGAAGGGGCCCAGAGTCACACAAATAAATAGAAATTACCCTGTGACGTACCCAACCCATTTGTATCATGGGAAACGAGGAGTTGGCCGAAACTTGCACGGACAATCAAATTGCGGGATCCGTTGTTTGATATGTAAGCTACTTGGGACACGCACCAATGGCATGATGCGCAGGATAACCATACAAGAACGAGGGGCAACAACTACAGGCTCGAAGAGGACATGGGGAGTCGGGAACGAAGAGCAGGAGAAAAACGTGCGCGAAGCCCACTGTGCTGTGCCCCTCAGCAGCCCTCGAAAGTGGCGACAGTTTCACAGATCGCAGCCCCCCAGGGATGGCGAGGTCTAATCTGAGTCTGCGGTGAGTACCCACTGTGCTGGGCCCCTCAGCAGCCCTCGAAAGTGGCGACAGTTTCACAGATCGCAGCCCCCCAAGGATGGCGAGGTCTAGTGAGTCTGCGGTGAGTACCCACTGTGCTGGGCCCCTGCAGCCCTGGCGACAGTTTCACAGATCGCAGCCCCCCAGGGATGGCCCAGACTAGCAGCCCTCGAAAGTGGCGACAGTTTCACAGATCGCAGCCCCCCAGGGATGGCGAGGTCCCATTGGGATGGTGGTACCCACTGTGCTGGGCCCCTCAGCAGCCCTCGAAAGGGGCGACAGTTTCACAGATCGCAGCCCCCAGCAGCCCTCTGGCGTGGCGACAGTTTCACAGATCGCAGCCCCCCAGGGATGGCGAGGTCCATTTGAATCGCGTGTGGCCCACTGTGCTGGGCCCCCCAGCAGCCCTCGAAAGTGGCGACAGTTTCACAGATCGCAGCCCCCCAGGGATGGCGAGGTCCCATTTGAATCCGCCGTGGGTACCCACTGTGCTGGGCCCCCCAGCAGGCCTCGAAAGGGGCGACAGTTTCACAGATCGCAGCCCCCCAGGGATGGCGAGGTCCCATTTGAATCCGCCGTGGGTGCCCACTGTGCTGGGCCCCCCAGCAGCCCTCGAAAGTGGCGACAGTTTCACAGATCGCAGCCCCCCAGGGATGGCGAGGTCCCATTTGAATCCGCCGTGGGTGCCACTGTGCTGGGCCCCCCAGCAGCCCTCGAAAGTGGCGACAGTTTCACAGATCGCAGCCCCCCAGGGATGGCGAGGTCCATTTGAATCCGCCGTGGGTACCCACTGTGCTGGGCCCCCCAGCAGCCCTCGAAAGTGGCGACAGTTTCACAGATCGCAGCCCCCCAGGGATGGCGAGGTCCCATTTGAATCCGCCGTGGGTACCCACTGTGCTGGGCCCCCCAGCAGCCCTCGAAAGTGGCGACAGTTTCACAGATCGCAGCCCCCAGCAGCCCTCGAAACGCAGCGACGAGCCAGGTAAAAGGCAGGGGGGGAGAGAGGGACGGGAAGGAAGGTTCGCGCAAGCAGTGCTCTATTCAAAACGAGAACCCAACGCAGGAGGGTTGGGAACAAATCCCAGGATTCCCAATACTTGTCTACATTTCCTCCATGCTCGTCTTCCCCCCACTTCCCATAATTTCCGATGTTTTCCTCGGGAGACGACGATCATTTGTGTCTGCGTTTCCTTTCCCTCCTGATCCTCCTCACACCCTCTACAACCCCTCCCTCGCGCCCCTGTTCCCGCTCTCCTCCGTCTCCCCGAGCCTCCGGATGACCTCATACTTCTCCTTCGTCTCCTCCTCTCTCCACTGGTGCCAGACCTCCAAACCGTGATTCTTTTCCGATGCGCGGGCTGCGGAGCTCTCGACTCATCTGGAGGCCTCGCACCCCCACATGGGGCCCGAGCAGATTGGATCGGAGGATCGCACCGCATCACCGATGCATCGGCAACGCCCGCTTGAGGACCCCCCCCGCGAAACATGAGAGCAGTGACACGGCCGCCTCATGGAGCGTCACGACTTCGCATGGAAGCGGGCCCCGTCGCTGATCCACGTGCCTTAAGCCATGCTTGCGATTCCTCGACCCTCCTCCTTCTCCGTCCTTTTCCTCCCCGTTTTTCTCCTCCCATGTCCTACTTCGTCCATCTCTTCCTCCCCAATCCTACGTCATGACCAGCATTTTGAAAAGCATCCAGCCATGGCGACGAGGGCTCTCCAAAGCGGCAGTAGCAGAACCTTTTTCATCCTCTAACTCCTGGCCTGTCCTTTCCCTCCCCCCCCCGACGCACGACGGCACCCCGCGCGACGGCGTCCTCGTGCCGGCCGACGTCCTCCAGCAGGATGGCGAGGTTGTTGACGGACGCCAGCGTCGAAGGGTGGTCCCGGCCCAACTCCCGCTCTTTGCCCTTCACGGTGCGATCGAAGTGGGCACTGGAAAAAATGAGACTAGACGGACAGCAGTTCTAAGGAAACAAGAGGCGGCATAAACACATGTTTCGGATGTCCGCGCGGCGCTGAGACCCCCCTCCCTGGCGCGGTGCGCGCCAGGGGCGGCGCCGAAGGCGCCGCCAGGGTGGCCCGGCGCCGATCCAGGAAATCCCCGGACGCTGTCCATTTGACACAGAAGACCACCTGCCCAACGGCGGCCGCAGTTGGCTTTGGACACTTTTCATTGATTTTGGCCTCCGGGGCCTGTTATCTATCGGTCCTTGAGACAATGAAAAACATTAGGTCCGGGATGCAAAGCTGCCCCCCCAGGGAAGGGGTCAGGACCTCAGGGGCCGTGCGTAGAAAGAACAGATCATCGGATATAAGGGGAATGGGGTCCGAGCGCAAGGGATCGGAAGATCGTGCCGCGTCGCCGACGCATCGCCAATGCATCAGCGATGTATAGGCGACGTCGGCGATGCATCGGAGTCGTCGGCGCGGAGAAAAACAGACTGCACCTCGAGCCGAATCGCAGACGCATCGGTCGGCGATGCGGCGCGATCCTCCGACCTCCTCCCCCTTTATTTTTTCCTTCTCCATCCTCCTCTTCTCCTCCCCCTCCCCCTTTCTACACCTGTGGGCTCCTTCTGGATCGCGCGCAGGCCCAATTCTTCGAGGCACATCCAGCCGAGGGCCCCGCCAGGAGGCCCCAAAACGTCAAACACGATCCCGGTCTTCTATCCAACACCGAAACACGACCACGAGAAACGGTGACGACGAAAGAAGGCAGCGAGAGACGACGCCGCCGACGACGACGACGACGGCGGACGACGACGAACCGTTGCCACGAGAACATGGGTCCAGACTTGGAGCCTGATCGCCAAGCGCCAAGGCCGCCCTGGAAGCCAAGACACGAAGAACCCGAAGGCCCCATTCCCAAACCTGTGTCTTTCCTGACCCTCCCACGACGCAATCGCGCGGCCGCCGTCGTATCTCGGCCCGCGAGGCAGGAGGGGGGCGCCAGCGGCAGCCACCGCCCCCCAAGTGAGTCACATCACACTCGCCATGGCCGACGCGGCCACCCTGGGGAGCCCACAATGGACGTACGCGTGATACGAGCGTTCGCGCAATGCGTACTCTCGAAGTCATCGTGGATGCATGTATGTGTACGCAGCACCCTGCAATTGCGGATAAGAGTGAAGGAGCGGGCGCGGGCGACGCGGGCGTCGATGCTGGGTGGGTCGCGGGCTCTCCACCTCCACCTGGAAGGAATTCAAAAACAGCCCGCCGCAGGCGCCGACAATTTTGATTTGTACACTGAACGCGGCTTGGGTCGCGGGTGGGTCGCAGGTTCTCCACCTGGAACGACTGCAACAGAAACCCGCCGCAGGCGCCGAAAATTTTGGGTGGGTCGCGGGGTGGGTCGCGGGTGGGTCGCGGGGTGGGTCGCGGGTGGGTCGCGGGTGGGTCGCGGGTGGGTCGCTGGTGGGTCGCGGGTGGGTTGCCAAGGAGGTCTCGGGGTGGGTCGCGGGTGGGTCGCGGGGTGGGTCGCGGGTGGGTCGCGGGTGGGTCGCGGGTGGGTCGCGGGGTGGGTCGCGAGTGGGTCGCGGGGTGGGTCGCTGGTGGGTCGCGGGTGGGTTGCCAAGGAGGTCTCGGGGTGGGTCGCGGGCCCGGTCGCGGGCGGGACGACGACAACAACAAACAACAAACAACAAACAACATCAACAAGAATCCGCATCGCGGAATTCCACTTCAGCCACGCACCCAGGGACAGTGAATGACCGTTCGGTTCAGCCCCCTCACTCTGACGTCCTTCTTTCGCTCCTGCCACCCGTGCCGCCGCGCTCATCTCGGCAGCCTGCGCTGCCAGGCCAGATCCTGGAGGGAGGGCGGCGCGCTGGAGCGGAGCGCGCCCGTGTTCGCCAGCGGGCGGGGCGTAGCGCGGGCGGGCCGAAGCCCCCCGGGCGCAGATGTGGAAGTCGGGATTCGTTTTGTGCGTGGCGAAGGAACGCATGTTCCAGGACAAATAACAAACACACATAAACATACCGAAACGTTTGGCGCTCCGCACGGATTTCTTGGATCCGCTCTGGACTCCCCTCCCTGGCGCGCGGAGCGCGCCAGGGGCGGGGCGGATCCAAGAAATCCGCGCGGAGTGTAAAAAGTTTATGTTTATGAGTCGTTCTTCTTCGATGTTCCAGCCTGCTGCATTGCGTTGTGCTACTGCAAGCCATCGTCCGCTGCCTGGTCGGAAAGGAGCGCCTGCTGCAAAATATGTTGTGAGATCGTCTTCCCACCGCGTTCTCTGACCCCCGTGCATGCGGAGTGCGTGTCGTGGTCTTGGATGTGGCAACAGGTCGGGCCCATCTGTTGTACGGCTGATTGGCGATTCGTCCTGCCCACCACCAATTTCGACGACAGGAAGCCGTGGTCCACTCACCTGCGCGAGCCCTTTTTGCAAATCTGACGCTGTGCGTGCAGCTCTACGGAAGAGGTCTTCACACGGCTCGAGGTCAGAATCGTTGCCGCCACAACGGGTTTGCCCTCAATCGTCGCCCATGTTCGTGTCTGCTCCGTTTCTGTCGTCTACATGCGCCTCTTCGCCGGAGCAGCCGACGACGCCCGCGGCGGGAGGCCGGGCCAGGCGAGACGAGGCAGGCAGGCAGCAAGGGGCCATGGGGGAGAGAGGCACGCAGGGATCGGGGGCCAATGGGGCGAGACAGGAATGAAGGGGCCCTGGGACACACACAAATAAATACACACAAATGACAGGATTCTCAATAGTTTCCTATATTTTCTGGGTTTTTGTCCTCCCCCCCACTTCCCTTAGTTTTCCATATTTTCTGCGGAATCGAAGACTAATTGTGTCTGTGGGGGAAGCGGAGGGTGAGACGGGGCACCACTCGCAGGCAGCCAGGCAGCCTCCCACGCGTGCCTCGGGTCGTTCTCCGAGGACGTCTCGGGCGATTGGGGCCTCCAGTGTGACAAATCAATCGGCGACGGACCGCACGAACTGTCGCCGCACCGCGTTGGGAATCCCAGTGGTGGTGGTCGACGCTCGTCGTCGTCGCAGTGTAAAGTTGGCATGAGGCCACAGTGCAATCGCTTTCAGGCGTTTGGGGACCGCTCCGCTTCCAATTCCTCCCTTTCTCCCTCCTCCTCCTCCTCCTCCTCCTCCTCCTCCTCCTCCTCCTCCCTTCTCTTTCTTTCCTCCCCCCTCCACCCCTCCATTCCTCCTCCTCTTCCCCCCCTCCTCCTCCTCCTCCTCCTCCTCCTGCTCCTCCTCCTCCTCCTCCTCCTCCTCCTCCTCATCCTCCTCTGCTTCCCTCGTCTTCCTTCCTCAGCGGGATGGAGTTATGCGGGGCGCCACTTGAAACATCGCGTCTCCCTGGGGTTTGCGAAGTGTGAAATTGTCGCCACTTCCGTGGGGTCCTGGGAGGTCCAGCGGAATGGAGTTGTACTGCGATCTAGTTGAGACCTCGCTGGTCCCTGGGGGGCTGCGGAGTGTGAAACTGTCGCACCTTTCGTGGGCTCCTGGGAAGTCCAGCGGAGCGGAGTTCTACGAGGATCCAGTTGAAACCTCGAGGCTCCCTCTGGGGCCGTCCAATGTGAGACTGTCGCCACGTTCGTGGGCTCCTGAAAGGTCCAGCGGAGCGGGGTTTTACGGGGATCCAGTTGAGACCTCGTGGCTCCCTCGGGGGCTGCGAAGTGTCAAACTGTCGCCACGTTCGTGGGCTCCTGGAAGGCCCAGCGGCGTGGATTAATACGGGGATCCAGTTGAAACCTCGCGGCTCCATGGGAGGCTGCGAAGTGTGAATCTGTCGCCATGTTCTTGGGCTCCTGGGAGGTCCAGCGGAGTGGAGTTGTACGGGGATCCAGCTCGGCGCTGTCGCATCGCAGGTCGCAAAGAACCGCTGCGCCACGCAGCGCATGGCGCTGTCATTTGTCCGCGTGTCCTCTCTTCCTCAGCTGCCTCTGGTCCGCCATGCCACCTCGTGCGCTTGCCTCGCCCAGCGCGACGTGCTGCTCTGCTGTAGATCGCACGGCGCTGTTCTGTCCCGCGTCCGCTTCGCTTGGCGCCACTGCTGCTACTGAGCAGGTACGTCCACGTTCACCCTCCTCCGTATACTTCTGTCAGGAACTCTGGGGAGATGATGTCCACCACCACTCGGGGGCGCGCAAACATGGATCAACGATCCATGGATTTAGCGCGCGATCGCCAAATCCACGGATCGGGGGAGGCACCCTGCCCAGAACGCGGCCAGTGCCGCCTCGCTCGGCGGCGGGAATCGGCGCGTTCCCATGGCGACGGGACCCGCCGCTAATCCACGCCCCCCTCATCCAGGCTCGCGATCGCCTGAACCACCCCTGGTCACCACCCCTCTTTGGGCCGCCCCCAGAGCCACGGAGGACGACGACCACCCCTCCCCAAGGGCCGCGGGGCGAAGGCGCCTCCAGCGCGCGGCGGTGCAGCGCCTCGGCCTCTCGGTGCTTGCCCGACACGCGCAGCAAGTTGGCCAGGTTGTTGAGCGAGGCTGGCGGGCACCGCGCGGGGGACTGCGACTCCTCCGCCTCCTCTTCGGCTCCTCCTCCGCCTCCTCCTGCCCCCACTCTCCTTCGTCCTCCTCCTCCTCCTCCTCCTCCTCCTCCTCCTCCTCCTCCTCCTCCTCCTCCTCCTCCCCCCCTCCTCGTTTTCGACGGCAAGAAGGCCGGGGAAAAGGAGGAGTCTGCTGCCCCCTCCTCCTCCTCCTCTTCCTCCTCCTCCCTCTCCTCCTTCTCCTCCCCCTCCTCCTCCGCTGAGGCGCTCGCTGAGGCGCCGGCCTCATTTTCGGGCCCCGCTCGTTCCGAATTGTGCTCCCGCTGCAGCGCTGGCCTCTTTTCCGTGCTTACGCTCGTTCCGAATCGTGCTCCCGCTGCAGCGCTGGTCTCATTTCCGCGCTTCCGCTCGTTCCGAATCGTGCTCCCGCTGCAGCGCTTGTCTCATTTCCGCGCTTCCGCTCGTTCCGAATCGTGCTCCCGCTGCAGCGCTGGCGTCATTTCCCGTGCCATGCCACGGCATGCAATGCAATGCTGGGTTGCGTTCCGCTGCGCGATGCCATGCCTTCAGCTGAAGCTGTGATATGCAGTGCTTAAGTGCCACGTCGTGCTATGCCATGCTACGCTTTGATCTGCAACGCCATGCTATGCAATGTTCTGTTCGGGGCCGGTGTGCGATGCCATGCTGTGCGTTGCAAAGCTGTGTGATGCAATTCTTCACTACGCCACGCCACGCCATGCTGTAACATACTAAGCTTCGCGGTGCTCTTCTACGCCATGCCATGCCGTGCTCTACAATGCATCGCGTACCCTTTCGGGATCATTGCCCTGCTCGACATCCGACTGTGCGAGTAGAAAGGGGATCTACGCCATGGGAAGGGATGGGAGGGAGGGGTAGGATGTCAGATATGACGCGAGCGCACCTAGCTTGTCCCCTCCCCCGTCCCTCACCTCCTCGTCGATCTGGCGGGGCGGGCGTCGGCCGCCGCGGGGGGGGGGAAGGGGGGGGGGCAGGCCTGAAGCGGATCGAATCGCGGATTCGGATCGGACCGTAGACGGATCGGATCGCCAGCGAATCGTGCCAAGCTCTGCCTGGCTCTGGCCGACGTCGGTGAACCGAATCGAATCGAATCGAATCGCGGCCCCAGCTGGCCAAACAAATCGCATCGAATCGGGTCGCATGCGGCTCCGAATGAGACGGAACATTGGAGGGACCAACCAGCTCAGGTCTGGAATCGGCGACATTTCGCACATAAATCGGCGATGGGCCCCCGACTGCGAACCCGCGCTCTCCTGGGCATGGTGGGTTATCGGGCCCCACGTCGGCGGTGAATCGGCGGATGGGAGTCCATGCGTCTCCCCCCGAGCCTATCCCCCCTAACGTTGCCCCTGATAGAAAGCAGCTCCTGGAAGGTCTGCTTGGGAACGATTACGGGCTACGTATAGCCCAGTTGATGGGCCATTGAGCTGGATTGAACCTTCATGGGCCCAGGACTCAGCCCGAGGCCTCTCTGGTTTCGGCTGGAGGTGCGGGGATCGAGGCTGGAGGTGCGAGGATCGATCGAGGTTCGAATCGAGGCTCGAGCCCTGGCTGGGGAAACCCAGGGCCCGATCAGGGATCGAGGCTCTTGGGATCGAGGCTCGAGAACCAATTCGTCTTCGCGCGTCGCGCCCTGCGATGCGCAACGCGCACCGCCGCGCCCTCGCGGGGCCCATCTTGGAACGAGGGCAGCTGTCCGGCCCAGGCCGCGACGCGCGCAACGCGACCACCTCCGCGCCCCAGAGGACGACCCAGATCGGGGATCGAGGGTCGAGCATCGATCGAGGCTCGTTGCCTCGATGCCTCGAAGTTCGATCAAGGGTCGAGGCTCGGAGCAGGTGGGGTCGCAGCATCACGACCGCACCCCGTTGGCGCAGCGGCCGCCGCGTCGCCGCGGGCGGGGCGGTAAGGAGCGGGCTCTGGGTCGCGCCGCATCGCCGATGCAGGAATCAGCGATGCGGCGCGATCCTCGGCGCCCCGCCACAAGGGGACCTTCATCGGCCAGGTCCCTGGCGCACCCGAGGCAACTGCGGCCGCGTGCCGAAACTTAGAATGAAAGTGATGGGAGCCTTCTTTCAAACACAGAGTGGGCAAATGTGCGCAAAAGTGCGCAAATGTGCCCTGCAAGAGCCGACAAAGATTTACTCACTTCATCATTCTCCGACCCCCTCCTCCTCCTCCTCTTCCCCCCCCTCCTCCTCCTCCTCCTCCTCCTCCTCCTCCTCCTCCTCCTCCTCCCCCTCCCCCCCCCCCTCCCCCCCTCAACCCACTGCCTGGCGCCGGCCTCCCCTCATCCACCCTGTCGCCCTCGAGGGCCAAGGCCGCCAGGGTCGGCGGCGGTGGCCGCAAGGCCTTTGCTAAGAAAAGCAGGCTGCGGAGAGAAGGGCGATGTCATGGACGGGAACGCCGCCGCAGCACGCTGCCGCCCTGACGGCGGCGAACCTCGCTTCGAGCGCCGGACGAGGGGGGGGGGCGAGGAGGAGGATAGAGGAGGAGCGAGGCGGAGGAGGAGGAGAGAGGGGGGGAGGGAGAGGATGGGGGGGAGGAGGGAAGGAGGAGGAGGAGGTAGGAGGAGGAGAAGGCATGGAGAGGGAACGTGGGGCGCTCGGAGAACGAAGGCAGGAGGAAGGGAAGAAGAGAGAGGAGGAGGAGGAGAGGAAGGAGGAGGGGGGAGGGAAAGGAGGGAAAGGAGGAAGGAGGAAAGGCGGCGTGAGGGGGAGGGGGCAGGGTGGGGGGGGGAGGGGGAAAGGGGTGAGGGGAGGGCAGGATGAGCCTGACAGGACAAGCGGCGGCGCCGGGTGGCTACTGGCGGCATGCGTGCGGCCGGGGCGGCGGGCCGGCGGGGTGGGGGGGGGGCGCGGCGGGAGGGGGTACGCTGGGGGCGCGTCGGAGGCGGAGAGGCACTGGGATAGAGGACGAGGCAGCAGAAACATTCTAGATGGCCTCTTGACCAGCTTTGGGCTGTCTTCGGCCTTCTCGGGTTCCACCTCTCCTCCTGCTGCCTGCTCCTCCTGCTGCCTGCTCCTGCCTCCCTCCTCCTGCTGCCTGCTCCTGCCTCCTCTGTGCTGCCTCCCCCTGCTGCCCTCTCCTGCTGCCTCCTCCTGCTGCCTCCTCCCGCTGCCTCTCCTGCCCCCCCCTGTTCCTCCTCGCCGCTGGCGTCCTGCAACTCGGAAGGTCGTTCCGCAACGCTCAGGCTCAAGTTGTCATTACGTGGCGCATCCAGCGCGCCTTGCGCAATCGTAAGTGGCATGGCCGCGATCGATGTCGGCGACGTGGCGAAGGCTCTGGACCTCCAGCCACCAGAGCGAGCGCAAAAGCAAGCTCGCGACCGGCTGAAGGATTGGCGTCGTGCAGTTGGTTCGTGCCTCCATGCGGGCCCCGACGTGATCAACTTGCACTGCGCGTTGCACCGCGCGTGCCCCCAGCTGCCGAAGAAGAAACATGCGACGGCAGACGCGATGCAAAGGCGGAAAGTCAAGCTGGAGAGGCGGGCGAAGATTTCGGAGACAGTGAACAAGACATGTTGGGTCGTGCCGAAGACAGAGTTCGCAACGCGGGATCAAAAGGGACCGCTGGCCCGTTTCGGCGTCGATGCTTCGCAGTTGGGCCATGGCAAGAAGTTGAGCGTGGAGTGATGGTGTCTCTCGCATGTTGCAGTCTTTGGATTGCGACGCGGATCTGAGCGTCGACGCCGCGGTGCCCCGGATTCTCCTGACAACGGGGCATTTGTTTTTGCGTTTCGATGCGTTCTCCAGCTCCCCTGGTGCTCTGTGGAAACTGACGCGTCGGAGGAACCCTCTATTGCATCCGAAGACAATCGAAGAGCTTCTGCTCGCAACGCCCGACGGTGCCCTGGAAACGGTCGCAACCTTCCGCTGCGGCAGCGGGCGGCTTCCATGGGGCCATTCGCCGACGCTTATGATTACATCGCGTCTCCCGCGGCGCAGGAGGAGTTGGAGCTCATATTCGACAAGTCCGAGGCCACCAGCTTGGACGTCGAGCGGGAGCACTGGCTGACCAAGCGCGCAGAGGGCCGCAAGGGGTTCAGGATCACCAGCTTGGCCCGCGCCTCCATGAACGACATCCTCCGAGCGTGCAGGTCGCAGCACGGCGCGGCCGTATCGAACGCCATCTCAGCGCAGAAGACGCGCGCCAAGTTGGCGACCATTTCGGCATGGAGCTTGGCTGTCCAGGGGAGAAGAGATCTCATGCCGCGCCCCAGAGGCAGGCCGCACTGGGAGAGCGAGACGCCACTGACCCAACAACGCGCGCTCACGCATGAAGGCGCCCTACCAGCACTTCGCGCGCACTTCGAGGAGCGCAGGGAGGAACTGACGGCAAAGGCGAAGTCGATGCGAGATGTGGCCAAGCGCAGTAAGCAACAAGAGGGGTGCATACACCCCCAAACGAACCCCGAATGGCTTGCCTGGATGGACCAGAACGACGAGAAGTGGAAATACCTCCCCTAGTTGTCGACAGCGGCTCGCCGACCTCTCTCGGAACGGCTTCGCCCCGCGACCCCGCTACCAGCCGCCGATCGCTTGCAGGCAGTCAGGCCTGTCTCGCCAGATATCCAATGGGTGAAAAAGCTGGCGCATGCGAAACACGGCTTTTTCATGCTGAAGCACCCGGCAGGTCGGCTCGAGATCTCCAGCTGCAAGATCGGGCAACTAGTGTGGGCCACGCCGCTCGAAGCGGACCCGTCTACTGACCTTGGCGGCCGATTCAGCCGCAACCGCGGCGCGCCCGCCGCCCCCGCCCTCGTCTTCGCCTGGGGCAACTCGCTGTTGGCGCCCCTCTTTGGACTACTTGTTGGCTCGCTGGGCTTCCTTTTGAAAAGTGCCGTTCCGCTCGGTTTTATGTATATATATATATATAATGTCCAAACTGGCCCTGCCATGCATTGCCGACAATTTAGGGCCAGAGCCCGAGATTTACCAGCGAAAACGCTATTTCGCAACGGCAGCCCGCGTCTAGGCCCAAACGGGCGTCTGCGGCAAGGTTTTTGCCGCTTTGCTCCCCCGCGGCGCCTCGGCGCTGCCCGAACCGGTGGCTTGTCATTGACGCCCGCGCCCCTTTGAAACAAGTGCCCCGCCCCGCCGCGGAGTTGAAAAATGCAGCGGAGTTTGACGAAATCCGCGTCGCCAAGCTGCGGGTGCGCTGCAGCCTGGCGCCCCCTCTGATCCAGGTGAGGGCGGTTGGCCTCTCAGACGTCAAGATCCCGCCGAGGGCCGCTGGCGCGGACGGGGGCCCCGAGGGCCCGCCGACGGCTGCTGGCGGTTCGGAGGGCGCGCGCGCGGACGAGGGCCCCGAGGGCGCAGCTGCTGATGTGGGGGCCATCGATACTGATGCATCAGATGTGGGCGTTCTTTTTTCCGATGTAGCTTCCGGCATGGACGACGCGTTAGACGAGGATGGGCCTGAGGTTGACCTCGCGGGCGAGGGTTGCCCGCCCGAGCTTGCGCCAGAACCCGACGACGTTCCTGACGTCGTCGACCGTGCACCTCGCGGAACCCACACTGCATGGAAGAACGCCTTCTTTACTCTCACCAGGAACATGGGGTGGCCAAATGCAAAGATGATCCTCCTGGACAAATGGGCCACTGGGCATTTGGGCGGCAAGGACAAGTCTAAAACGCCCACGATTGCGCAATTCGATGGGCCAGAGCACCCCAAACATGCGGCGCCAGAGATGACGCACCTCGCACTGCGGGCCTGGATGGTGACCATTTTGGGACGCACCCAAAGCTCCTTTAGAATGCTACTGTCTGGGCTTGCTGGTTCCACAAATCCCTGGCCATTCCGCCCAGGGCGGGCAGGGCGGCGTGAACCGTCTCAAGCCGCCATGGGCAGTCCTGGGGCGAGGGGGGCGTTGCCAGGAAAGGGGGGAGGGGTGGGGGGGGGGGGGGGGGGGGGGGGGGGAAGGAGGGGGTGGGGGGGAGCGGGGGGGGGGCGCGCGCTAGAACCCCCCCCCCCCCCGGGCCTCCGCCCCACCCCCCGCCTTTTTGAAAAGATCCCAATTGAATCGCGCGAATGTGCCCGCCTGGCTGGATCAGTGTCGAGTGCGGCGCCAATGGCGCGACGACGAGATCGCCGCGCTGCGGAGGCCCCGAGCCCTTGCGGCCCCCATCCCCCAGCTTTGCCATTTCCTCCTTTAAGTTGCCCCGCCGTTGTTGGGCGCTCTTGCTCCTGCAATGGACGCGAAGGCGGTGGATTTGGAGCGCTACCCGACTGCCAGAGAGAAGATCGCGGAGTGGTGCCCCGCCGCTCTCGCTTGAGGACGCGCGCTTGCGCGGCCCCTTCCCCCGCTCGCATCTCCCGCTTGAAACGGGGGCGAGGGGGGGGAGAGGAGGAAAAAAGGAAGAGGAGGAAAAGGAGGAGAGGGGTGCGAATCTAAGAGGACGAGAGGGGCCCCGCTCAGGACGGCGCTCCGTCGTCGGCGCCTTCTGCGCGCAGGCGCCCCCCATCCTCGCCCTTGCTGCTGCCGCCCCTGCCGCCGCCAGGTGACTGAAGGAGGAACCGGAAGAGAGGGGAAGGAGGAGGAGGGAAGGGGAGGAGGAGGAGGGGGAGGAAGAGAAGGAGGAGGAGGAAGAGGAGGAAAGCGAGGTGGAGGAGGATGGGTGCGGGGTGAGGGCGGAGGAGAAGAAGGAGAAGGAGGAGGAGGAGGAGGAAGAGGAAGAGGAAGGGGGGGAGGGGGGGGGAAGGGGGGGGGGAGGAGGAGGAGGAGGGAGGAGGAGGAGGAGGAGGAGGAGGAGGAGGACGAGGAGGAGGACGAGGAGGAGGAGGAAGAGGAGGAGGAGGACGAGGAGGAGGTGGGGGAGGATCGGCGCGTGTATAGCGGCATCGGTGCCTCGGAGTTCCCCCAGTGACCAAGATGTCGCCCCAGGAAGGGAGCACGCGGGCCATGGCCCAGGCAGAAGCGCAGCGTCCTGGCTTGCCCATGGGCTCACCAAAGAATGTTCTAAGCACCTCGTGTGGTTTGTAAGAACTTGTCTTAGAGCATGAGGCTGTTTTGTTTGATTCAGCGACCTTCTTTTCTAAGCACATTGTTTGGGTTATTTGGCATGTTTTGGCATTTGGTGGTGGGCCTATAGGCATGAGAATGTCGGGACGGGTGCCCCCTGCTCAGATGACCCAGATGTCGCCACAGGCATGCGTCCGATGGCAGTTCATGGGAGTCCCGCGTGTCCTCACAATGCCACTTTTAGAGTGCGCTAGCGTGTGCCAGCATCTGGTGATCGATGGGGCAACTAGCGTCGAATTGGTGTCGATGAGCGTCGGGCGGCGTCGGCTAGCGTCGGTTAGCGTCGATTCGCGAGAGCCAGAAAGATGGCATGCAAAACCCCCATGCGATGCCACAGCATTTGTTCGCATTGTGAACAGAACTCGCTACGGTCTGCGTTTTGCTGTTTTCGGTCTCTGAGGACCCTCGCCAGCCCCCAGGACCGTCGAAACACGACACAGGATGAAAAGCCAGGACAAATCATGATTTCCGGTTCTGGGGATGTCGCTGGATCTCGTCGATTCCGGCTGTCTGAACCCATTCCCGCGACCAGAGTTTCACCCTGAGTTTGTTTCGTGGATGGCCCCGAAGCCCGGCGAGGGCCCCCAACGGCCGAGAATAGCACGCAGTTGTCGTTGTGTCGCAGCGCGGCAGAGGCAGTCCGCACGCGCGCTCAAGTGGGCCAAAACAGTAACAACTAGCAACAACACGATCCGTGTCGATCTTGTCACGACGCGAGAGGGTCTGGGCGGCGAGGCGCGAGGGCCCCCGGAAGACGAACACAGCCTCAAAACAATCCGCAGCGATGTTTCTGTTTTGCGACGCGGGGGGGGGGGGGGGGGGGGGGGGGGGGGGGCGTCTGGTAGGGATGCCGATGCCAAGAAGACGGAGGGGGGGCACGGGGGAGCGGCCGCCTCCAGAGTCGGCGATTCCCCCTCGGATCCCATGGGCATCCCAGGGGCCCGCGCATGACAGCAGGCAAAGCGGCCCCGAGGAAGAGGGGGGAGGGGGAGGGGGAGGAGGAGGAGGAGGGGAGGAGGAGGAGGAGGAGGGGGAGAGGCAGGAGGAAGAGGAGGAGAAGGAGGAGGAGGAGGAGGAGGAGGAGGAGGACTGAGGCGGAGGGAGGAGGAAGGATATGGGGGGAGAAATGGAGGAAGGAGAGGTGTGAAGAGAACCACCACCAACACGAGCAATCGTGGTGAGGAGGAGGAGGAGGAGGAAGAGGAGGAGGAAGAGGAGGGCGATGAGGAGGAGGAGGAAGAGGAGGAGAAGGAGGAGGAGGAGGAGGAGGAGGCGGAGGCGGAGGGGGAGGACGCGGAGGAGGAGGAGGATGACGGGGGCGAGGTCAAGAGCGGCTGGGCCATGCCG